ATATCCATACTTCCTTTCCTTTCCAAAGTGCTTGAGGCCTGTGTACACAAACAGCTGTCCAACTTCGTTTACCGGAATTCTCTCATTAGTCCTCTCCAATCCGGGTTCAGACCAGGTCACAGCACTATCTCCGCTCTCCTTAAGGTGACTGGCGATATTAGAACTGGCCTCGAGAACACCATGGTTACAATTCTGGTTTTAGTTGATTTCTCGAATGCCTTCAATATGGTCAGTCACGACATCCTTCTAGCCGTCCTATCCCATCTTACGGTCTCTGACAAAACACTGAACTGGTTCTCTTCTTATCTTCAGGGGCGTCAGCAGTCGGTCAGGGTTGGTGACGGTTCATCTACTTGGCGCGAACTAGGTGCTGGCGTTCCTCAAGGCGGTATACTATCTCCTCTTTTATTTTCTATCTTTATTAATTTTATAACTTCCGAACTTCAGTGTGCGTACCATCTGTACGCTGATGACTTGCAGTTATATCGTCAAGCTGGTGTTGATGGGCTGTCTGATGCGATCTCGGAGATGAACGGTGACCTGGCGGCCGTTAAGAACTGGGCCGATAGGTTCGGCATTGCAGTTAATCCTGCAAAATGCCAAGCCATTCTTATAGGTGGCTCCCGCACGCTGAATGGAGTTGACATGGTGTCCTTGCCGGCCGTGGTCTTCGATGGTGCGGTAATCCCGTTTAGTAGTGAGGTGAAAAACTTGGGCCTGCACATGGATAAGAGTCTGAAGTGGCATGCTCAGGTCACCAGCGTATGCAAAAAGGTTACTGGATCTTTGCGGGCTCTGTATCGCGCTAAGAACTTACTTCCTCCTACTACGAAGGCTATGTTGGTGCAGGCGTTGGTTCTCCCTATTATTGATTATGCTGATGTGTGCTACTACGACCTGAATGCAGATTTCCTCAACAAACTTGACCGACTTCTGAATAACTGCATTCGATTCGTTTTCAACCTGCGTAAATATGATCATGTTTCTGCACATCGGATGCAACTAAAGTGGCTGCCCATACGCCAGCGCAGGGAGCAAAGGGCGCTAACCACCCTATTCTCCTTTCTTTGTTCACCTTCTTTGCCCAGTTATCTTTCCCCTTATTTTCAATATCTATGCGCAAACCACAGCAAAAACCTTCGTTCTTCTCATAACCGTCTTCTTCAATGTCCCACTCATCGCACTGACTTCTTTCATTCTTCCTTTTTCGTACAGGCAATTTTGCTGTGGAATGCGCTCCCCCCGGATGTCAGGATGGTGTCGACTCGTCTATCATTTAAGCAGAAAGTGCGTGAACTTCTCTTGGAGAGGGTGGCTGAATCATCACGCTAATTACTCACAGTCTATATTTATGTATGTATGTATGTATGTATTTATGTATGTATGTAAGTATATATGTATAATATGTGTATGAATGCATTCATGTGTATTGTGTTGTACTCGTGTGGAGGTATATATATTATAATTATGTTTAAGTATTTATGTTTATCTCTGAAATATGTAAGTGTATCTATTTTTTTTGCTCTATTAAATAATTGCTTGCTTCTTGCTCACACCATTAACTCTTCTCTGCATCACCCAAAGGTCAGACTGGGAGAGAATGCCTGCGGCATTAAGTCCACCTTGTGTACATTTTGTGCATGAAGCTTTAAATAAATAAATAAATAAATATGAATAACGCATAACGCGTAAACGTTTTTTTTGTTGCCAGTTACCCGCCACTGCGCCAAGAACGGTGCAATCTCTCAATATCGATCGATTCTTTCATCTACTCTTACGTACCAGGAATACAGGATAGAGCAGCACTATGTACGAAGCCAGGTAGATATAGACAGTGAAGCACTGGACTAGCATTATGCCCGACACCATGGTCCGCAGCGCGCGCTGCACCGGCATCGACAGCTCCTCTGGCATGTTCATCTGCCATACCTGGTACAAAACAAATACCTATTAGTTATTAAGCTATACATACCTGCGTAGTATCTGAAACTTTGTAGTAGTCGGTAGCTGTAGATAGATTTGTTTACTCCAATTGGAAACTGTGAGTTTTAGCATTTATCGCGTCAAGTTTTTGGGAATAAATAAAGCTCTATGGACCCCTGTACAACATAAATCAGTTTCTACGAGCTTTCCTCATCTTACCAGCTACATCAGTAACTAGATCCTTTTCTTTCTAGATATAGGTACAGGTTTTTCATTAGTCCCATGTAAAAGTGGAGAAATCGTATTACTGTGGCGTTATTACTTATAGGTATCTATGACTTTCCCTGGGTACCTAGAAGGTACATAATACTCAATTAAATAGTTTATCTAAAGACCTAAACATCCTGCCATCCTTCATAAAAGTTATTGAGTAATAACGATAACGAACTCTAGTCATTCATTGACTGATTTGAGGAAAAAACACAATAAACTATAAATTAGTAATCCATCAACATAAGGCACTTTATTCATTCATTTCGTACTACATTGATTCAACTTTGGATGGATCACAACAAAGATGAAGTAGCATTTGGTTTATATCAATATCGGTTCAGTAATTTCTGAGACGTAACAGATGAGCCGATTATATCAACGATACTTTTTTGTAACACGTGTTGATGTGTTTTTAGCTTACTTTGTAACTATGTAAACTTCATATCGCATTAAAAAGCGATACCGTATCGTACCCTGACTAATAGTACAACTAGAGAAATAAAACGTCACAGGTGTCTGGCTACAGGGGGCCACCAAGTAAAGAGGAGCGCAAATAGAAATGAAATCAACAAGACGAAAAAAGAGCATTATTGATGCCCTAAATTAAAATGACATTTGAAGAAAAGTAAGATATACTTGTAAAGTAAATAAAATACTTAATTAATTTAATAATAAATAATTTTCGGTGACTAAATAGACTAGCAGTATTGAGGATGTAGAGAAAATAGCTTTATATTATCAACTAGCGACCCGCCCCGGCTTCGCTCGGGTGCAATATGCATGTATTATACATATAACCTTCCTAAAACCACTCTATCCAATAAATTCCTAAGACCAACAGTATCTATTGCATTAGCATTCTATGTACATCGCTTCATACATTCACTGTTCAAACTTCGTGTGCACGAAAACTTCTGATATAGTAAAGATAATTTTACGCTATGCACAACACGTGTTGACTGCGAACACCTTAACACAGAGATAGCGAACCAATGGCATGCATGCTATTGATGCACGCAGCATGCACCGTAGAATTTTGGGAACATGACTGACCATCACATTTAGTTAGATAGCTGGCTGCAGTTTATCCCTCATCATGTTAAAATGTCTATATAAAAATTTTTTAAATTCTTTAAAATATTGCTTGAAAGTGTTGTTACATAGGTTCGCCATCCCTGCCTTAATATAATTAAACTCTAATAAGAATATTTATAAAATCCGTCGTCGCTAGCACCTGTTTAAGATTGGCGTTCACTTTGAAGAGTGTAGCGTCGAAGATAGTCCGCAGAAGCCCCAGTAAACACCATAAACAAACTTCGGACTGCAAATTCATACCCACGTACGAAAGTATATTTATCATTTTGATATGAGAAATGACACCCTATTATGTAAAAACCGAAAACATTTTTTTAACTTAGATTATTTATCATTTATTATAATATTTACTTTATTTTTGATTATTTGTACATTTATATTGATTTATTATAACCGTCAGATGATTGATGTTATTGGTGACATTTTATTTAGTTATTTTTTATGTTTTGCGGTGCAAAACTTTATTTTATTCAGCCGGATTGTAACCTCTTTAGTTTTATTAAAGCTACATTGGCTGCAACGAGTTAAAAATAAAGAGAATTGTTTTTATTTTAATGTTTGTTATCGCTCTTACGCTTCAGTGAAGAAGACATTATCAGTTAAAAATTAAATCATAAACATACAAACCTGTACTTTAAAAAAATAGTTGTAAACACGTAGGTGATAATTTTAACACATATAACAGGATACCTAAATACAACTGCTGAATATTTAACGCGTATGATTACTGACTCAAAAAAAGAAAAAGGTACTGTATTCGGAAAATTGTTTTACTAACAACTGTTCTTGAACACTATTCTCTATTGTTTACACAAAACAGAATGGCTGTCAAGTTTATTTATATAAATTATTTAATTATATTAAAGACGTGAATTGGATTGAAGTCAACGGGTGCTGCAGTATGATTAGCGCTGTCATCATCAGTGTGCGTCAGCGTCAATCCGTCAGCGTCGGCGTTGTACCAGCCCAGTGGGTATAGTGGTACAGTCGCGCGCTTCCTTCAGACGAGCCCAGACCACCGAACAGTCACATCGTGTACCACCGCGCACAAACTTCTCTCGACAAACAGTGATCATTAACATTACCCAAGTGATTAAAAGTGGTAAACAGTGATAAGAAGTGATTTACTTTATTAGTTCGAACCTCATTATAAAGGTAAAGCTTAGATCATATTTATAAATAACTTTTGTTTTATTACTTTGTACTTATAAAATAATACTTTTTCTCCATAATATCGATGTGTGTGGTAAAGGCCTTGATTTTGTTTTAGAATATATTTAGGTTACGCGTCCTTACCTTGAACAGTGTGACTCGCGAGTTATTTTTGAGATTTCAGTCTTAACGTACCACCCACCAATGTTTATGGAGATTTGCGAATACGTCATGATCTATGAAATAATAGAAACAACACGATGCGAGTTCACGGAGCGTGCATAAATAAATATTATTTAATTAAAACTTCAGACAAACATTACCAATGCTAATTTATTCTACACACGCCTTTATTAGGAGAATATAATATCTATCAAAATGTATCCAATATTTCCAGTAGGTATAGTAGGTACCTACGTGAAACCCCGAATTTGAATAGTAATTAAAATAAAATTAATATGAATAACTAATCAACTTAATTAATGTCACAATGTGAAAACAAGAACACTTGGTATTTATAAATCGTTATCTTTATAAGAAATAAATGTTCACATTACCTCAATAAATAGTGGAATAATAAAACCAGAAGCTGGAATAATGTTCGTTTTGATCTCCAAGAATTATAGAACGAAGATCAAATATGATTTCTTGACTCTATCTAAGTACTACGTAGTAGTAAGTACGAAAGTACGAAAATTCTTAGTTTTCATTATCATTAAACCCTAGTTATCTTTACTAATAACTAGCTTCTACCCGTGCTTCTCCCGCGTAGTCAGTGTTAGCCTATGTGTTATTTCAGACCATAATATACCCCTGTTTCAAATTTAATCCCGATCCCTTCAGCCGTTTTGATGTGATTGAATAACAAACATACACACAAACACACAAACTTTCGCATTTATAATATTAATAATAATAAGTAAGATTAATCATAATTACTTAATATTCAACTTTTTACTTAAAGATTAGTTGTAGTATAGATTACATCTACGTTTCAAAATTATATTAGGTACAAATAATTTATATTACACAATGTAGGTACTTATATACCTACAATAGTTCAATCTGCACTTCATAATAATTATGTGAATTGTATTATCACATAATTATTACTATTCACATATTGTGCAGTATATTAAGACAAAAAGTGTATATATTTATAACATTTATAGGTAGGTTACATTAACTGAGAACAGACTATCAGTCAAAGTGTAGTTTTAACTTTTAAAGTAACATAAAACTGACATACGGAACTTATTTATGAATGAGACGTGGGATGATGGTATATGGTACCTTCATAAATGTATCGTCCAAGCAATAATTAACATTCATTATGAATATTTTTATTACGTTGTCGTCTTTCAAAAGTAGTAATATAGCTAGTATTTTTATAATGACCAATGTAGTTTTGTTTGACTTAAAATAATGTAGAAGATGAACACGGCAGTTTATAATTTTAGAAGTCGCACTTCGAGGGTTATACCTGAGGTAGTATTTCCTTCGGGTTTGGTCCTCGGGTTGGGCGACACTTTGAAGACGTCTTGAGTTGTGTGTGAACTAAGCTGTCTATTTCTAATTCAGCAAATATCTCAATTAACCATATTTGCCGAAGTGTAACAAACACATTAGTAGTATGTAGTGTAAGAACAGAATTTGACTATGATGTCATTCATATACACGCTGTAATTTAAAGTCACTTAGCTCCTAACATGCAGTACAATTTGTCCAAGGACCTAATTCTATTTTCGCGCACTTATTTCAGTTGTGTTCTATCGTAAAACTGTTTGAATTTGTAGCGAATTAGATCATCGATTAAGTTATGCTCAAAGACTATAATGGACTGTAATATCAATTATTAAACAAAGCTAAAATTGTTTAATAATTAATTTATTTTACCTACATTAACACGTCGTGTGTCTAAACGTGTATCCACGTGAGACACAATGTATTTTCTGTTGAGTCTCATATCGGTGCATTCAAGCAGTTAATTAAAATGAGGGAAGAAGGGGGGAATAAATTGTGTTTACGCCCAAAACTCATGAAAAGGCATTTTGCTATTTGCCTAATAAATATAATATAATTTGCATTACTAATTAGTGAAATATACACAAAGGAAAATAAATATTGAGAAATATAGCGTGATAGAAAGGAAAAAACATGTTTGTTTCTACCCACTCAATTAATAGGTTTTACCTAAAATGCATATAATTTATAGGCACCATGAACCGTAAAGAGTGAATGACCTCTAGACAAGTCTGTTTTATCAAATATTTAGCAATAGTATTATTATCTTGCTACCTTAAGCCTGTGGCTTTCTAATAGCAGGTTATAAAGGCGCCAAAATGCCGGGTACACAACACATAAGATACAGACTTAATATAGAATAATTTTAAATACAGCTACATCCCGTATATGAAATCAATCTAAATCTAATGGCTCAACTAATCTCAAATCGATCATACCAAAAAGAAAGTCATGACCAAACTTCCGTTATGAAAAAAAAAATTAAAAAGTAGTGTCGCTACAACAGTTAGTTAACTAACGCTAAACAAAAAGTAACTGTTAAATGTTAACGACTGTTAAATATCACCATAAAACGATAGTTAGCACGTTACAGTTTTCTGTTACGAGAAACCTGACAACGGAAACATGTGTAGATATAAATGAATCGGAATACTTTCGTGATGGCTCAGCTGCGGATACTACTACGTCAAAACCTCGACTCGGTTTATTGGTCAAGGTATTCATAAATGTTCAGATCCAGAGATATAAAATTTCATAAAGAATATTAAATAAACAAAGTCAAATTCAATTTAAGATTTTGAACGTAATGATGACCTAATGTGACTAACTGATAAGAGATTAAAGGGTTTTGTACTGAAACTTGTAAATACATTTAGTTTTAAATTGGTTTTTCATAAAAGACTTTGAAAAACAGTTGAGTCAATAGTGGGCATCCAATGGCAAACGGTACGAGTGGTTGTGTCATTCTTGATATACGTGAGAACACGTCTATGTTCCCTACTCTAACCATATAAGGGATCACTGCATATGGCAGTACTAACATGCCTTGTGAACTCGCCCAGTAATTTATCCCCGTTTTCCCTGCTTTCTACTTAACAACTACATGAGAACCAGACAGTAGCCCACGCATCTATGTATCCTCTTTGTTATACCACTATGATTCTTACAATTAACACCAATTTCCTGCCCAACTTACACCTACAGAAGTAAAACAAAAAGGTTTGAAAACGTTGAACCTCCTCCCTGCGATGTTTACCGTCTTACGAATCGTTCTCAATAATTATCATTCATCTGGAACAACGAAGCGTATCAACATTCCAAATGAAAGATACATGAACTGTAACCTGATTTGGTCATCAAATTAGATACAGTTGAAGTCAATGAACGGATTAATTGAAAATTAACTGCAATGATTTGCGACTGAGTCAGCCCTACATAACTGATAAAAATGCTTTAAGGACGATTATTCATCCTCACGAATATCGCTATCCTGCCATGGAGTTTGTGGAATCAACAGTACCTACATAACATAACACTGTTTGTGAGTCATTTCTGTTGCATATTGTATTACACATCGCTATAATATCAGTGTTTTGGGTGATGTCATCCACGTCGACCAGGACTTTCATGTCGATTTAAGATTCTATGTGACTTGGGAAGACAGGGTTGTTTGTGCATGTGTGTTCGGACAGCAGTTCAAATGTCAAGACATGTGAATGACGCCAGGATGACTGATTTGTACCTAGACTAGACGAGGTGAACACTACTAAAGATTACGTCACTTATATAAACCTTGACCGAATAATGAATAATGGGTAAATCTGAGGATATTCTGCACCTTAGTAAAGAAATTGCGTTGACATTTGCCTATGACGAAAACCTCATACTTCAATATTGAGGAGCTCTATAGGCTAACGCTTCACCAGCGTTTGGTTTTGCTACGACAACGTGCCTTGACAACAACCAGAAGTGAATGAAATAAAAATATTTATAGATTTTTTATTAAATCTGTAGTTAATAGTGGTTAACCTTGGTCTCCGGCAGCAGTCGCCGAGATCTACAGCCATATATAGTTTTTGCGTGAGTTCACTGCTTCGTCGAATCGTAATCTACTAACCAAGCTTGACACTGACATTGTGGTCTGACTATCGGAACCTTGTTACTCACTCTACACTATTTATAGTTGTTTACACTAGAGTAAATATCTTAATACAATACTATTTTCTTGTAAATGTTCTTTATTCAAGATGCGGTGACACTATTGAAATTATTATTAATTGTCTTTGAAAACAAAACGTTTAATCTAACTTTATACACACACACATAAACGTACAAACAGTATCTAACGCATAAAGACCATACAAGTTTCCTAACGTACAAAAAACGTAATAAAACCACGACCGTAATACAGAGATACGGGTAAATAAACACACACCGAGTCACATGCGAGGACTACAAAATATTTTTATTAATGTGTGAAAGTAAATCTTGTCACGATAAAAGGGACCGACGTCTTTGTTGAGTAAGAAGAGAATTCATTGTTTACAATATACATTCTTGTACAAATGAGTGAGCGTCACACAACGTGAACCTGGTGACGTCACGCTGCCTTCTGCGGCTGTGCGTGCGCTGGCCTTCGCGTACGGCGTATCTGTCCAAAGCGAGGCAAACTGCGCTCCTCGTGAGACGTGGGCTACAGTGACATCACTTCTTATTGTCCTTACACGATTTCTCAAACTTTCATGTAAATGTACCTTAATTGTCGCTCTACATTATTCAACAGTCGAGTACGGACAACGAGCCATAAGATTGGGTAATGCATGTCATAGATAACAAAAATCTGGGTCGGTATTCTTAGTTTGGTTATTCGTATCGTATCCATAACATTCCCGGCGCCATAGAACAGTCAAAGATGGTTTTCGTTGAATGGTGCATTGAATACAAACATTCGTGTGATGTGTTTAAACGTTTACACAGTT